ACTAATCGGACGTATTTCTAGTATACAGTATTTTGGCATATTATGCATATGTTTACTTGAATATTTATTGTATAATTAATTAGATTAATTTCTAAAGTTTTTATGATTATTTTATTAATTTATTTAGCCTTGTATTAGTTCAAATAAATTATTTCATAATAAATAATATTTAAATTAAATTTATAATTAATTTATTTAAATTTTCAAAATCTTCATTTAAAACTTTGTATTTATTTTTATATTATATTCTAAATATTTCTACTGTTGTGTGAAATGTAACATGGGTTAATTTTATTATGATATTATGTGGCATATAGAAATTTGGAAATGGTGAAAATATGGACCCAAGAGGCTAGTGATATTAATTAAAATTATCAGCATTAGGAAATATCTTATCGTAAACTATTGGAATAGAAATTGCAAATACTGTGTGGTGTTAATCATATCAAAAAAGATATTTAAGAATAAAGTATTTTTTAATGTAATAAATTAATTATAAAAGAAATAAATCAATCTTATTAAGACATGAGATAAAAATATTCTGTAAATTAATAATTTTTATATAAAAGCCGGGTAAGAATCGTTTTATACAAGTATTTATCTTTTACATTACAGTGCAATACTACATGCTTTATGTATGCCATGAGACATGTTCTAATGTATTGACAAAACAGAATAAAGTGCATGCTACTTTGTTTATCATTTTAATTGGTTTGATTCAATTCAATTTTAATGTATTTAGTCCATTATTACGTAAAATAATATTATAAAGCATTTGGTGGCAGATAATACTTAATATAACACTTGACACAACATATCCACAACTGGAAAGCTATAAAAAATCGTTGATTGTCTCGAAAACATCTGTCAATTGGTTCAATAATAATATAATAATTAATAAATTGTTAATTTCCTTAAATACATGTATTTTCTATTCAACAAAACATGACTACAACTGTGGTATCATATAATTTGTACGCCTTTCCCAACGTATTTAGTGTCATCTCTGGTTACGATTAAGTTTACAAAATAAAATTCTGGAGACAACTATACCCTGATTACACTTATGATATGATATACCGGTATACTTTGTATAAAAATTATATAAACATAAACTAATAAAAAATATTAAATATACCACACATTATACCCATATTATAAAAACCAGTTTCATATCATTGGAGTTAAACGACAGTCAAGATGTCTATATTGAAAGTCCATTACTTCCTATGGTTTGGTTCTTTGAGTTGTATTATGCCATTCGTGTCGGTCTTCGCCATACAACACACCACTGCCACCACTGAAGACATCGGAATCCTCTACTGTGTCCTCCCATTCATTGTCTCCGTTTTCAAACCACTCTTCTGTTCCATCGCCGACCGCAACAACTCTCACAAAAAAGTCTTAATAGTCTCAACCATTTTCACGATTCTGGGATATGGACTCCTTTTACTCATTATGTACGTCAGGTTCGGCCGATTCTCGTGGTATATGTTTTGTATACTCATATTGATGGCTAACTCCGGACAGGGAGTCGTTATTTCACTCAACGATTATTTAGTTATGAAAGAAGTGACTCGACTTAACAAAGATTACGGCGGGTATAGAGTGTGGGGAACCGTTGGTTGGGGTGGCTTTGGTTGGTGTCAATTCACCATTCATTTCATGATTTGCTTCTAATTGTTTGCATCTCTTGTAGGAGTAATCGCTGGTATTATCAATGAATATATCGTTAACCTTCCCTTTCTATTGCCCGGAATATTGCTGTTCGTGTCGATCGAGACAATTGACTTGATTTTCATGTATTTCAAACTCAATGCAAAGTATGAAGACTCGGAGACCAACTCTGAAATCGTGCCAAACACCTCTCAAAATGTGAGAATTTGTTCATTCAATTCATACAATTCTAACAATTGGTTGATTGTCTTAACAGCGAAAACCAATCTCAGTCTTACTGAAGAAGCCATTCATATCGACAGCTAAAGCCGTGAAACAAGTGTACCATATATTCCTCCACAACCCCACTCTATTGCAATACATAGTAATTGTATTGATTTTCGGTGCGTTGACTGCCTTTCACTGGTCCTATTACTTCGTATACCTGGAGGCTATCCGAGGCAAAGACGCTCTCCTCATGGGTTTGGCTCTGTTTGTCGAGTCATTCGCAGGAGAGCTGCCATTCTTCCTCATCTCTAACATCATTCTCAGACATTGTGGGCCTTCGCTGTCACTCAACATAAGTCTGGCGGCGTTTGCCATCA